CGGTACTGAGGAAGAAAGTTGAAGCAAGTTAAGGATTATCAGGACCTGATAGAGACTTAATTGCTTGGGCCTAATGTGCATGTAAAGTTAATTTAGCCAAAAAGAAACTGTCTTGGAGGACCAAACTGTCAAAGAAATACAGACTAGAAAACTTCCTCTCATGAGAAGAAAAGACCATGAAAACTTGCTTGAAAGAGTGGAAGTTTGAACTGTAAATCTACACCACTTGTGGTCCCAGGGTTTTTAATTCATGAAGGATAGCCAGTCCTAATTCTACAAATAGTGGGTCCAACACAGGGACTTTAAAATAAATATGTTTAGAGCCAGGAATTTAGCTAGTGGCCCCATACCCGCCTTGTAAGCACAAGGTCCTGAGTTTGATCCCCAATACCAATAAACAAACAAACAAATAAATAAACAAGTTTAAAACCTAAAGGAAAGTTTAGAAACCACACATACTGTATCAGTTAGCTTTTTGCAACTTTATACACCATTCCAAGCCCTAGTGGCTAAGACAACAATTTATCGAGTTCTACAGGTTCAATAAAGAGTTTGCAGGGACAGCTAGGCTGTGGTTAGTCTGGTGTGACTTCATGTGCCTGGCAGTTAGAGCTGGCTCTCACTTGGTATATGTTAGCTGCATCGATGGGAACATGGGTCATTTCTCTTGTTACTCAGCAGACTAATAGGCTTCTTTATATGGGGGTAGCCATATGCAAGAGCAGCAAGACAAAAGTGTGAATGTGTCAGTGCTTTTCAGGTCTTAGCTTGTGTCATGTTTCTGCTGTACTGTGGCCAAAGTCAGTCATAAGGCCAGCAAGAGTCAGACTGGGAGGGCACTACAAGAGTAGTTACAGGAAAGGGAATAATTTGTAGCCATTAAAAAAACAAAAACAGCTGGGCATGGTGACGTAAGCCTGTAATCCCAGCACTCAGGAGGCTGAAGTAGGAGAATCACTGTGAGTTCAAGACCAGCCTGGGCTACATAGTAAGTTCCAGGTCAGACTCAACTACATAGTGAGAACCTGTCTCAAATAAAAAAAAAAAAAAAAAAAAAAAAAAAAAAAAAAAAAATGTCTGTACTTTAAAACAAAAACCAATGTATAAAAGGATCAGGCAAGAGTGAAAGTGAACTAAATATAGCTAATCAGAGAATTGATAAATTGCAAAATAGATTTGGGGAAACTTTAATGCATGTCAGAGAGATAAGAAAAGGTAGAAAATAAGGAAGCTGTCCTGAGTTCGATTCCTGGTACAAACGAAAATAAGGAAGTTGAAATTTGAAGGATAGAATTAAAACATCTAATATCATATAATAGTAATATTAGAAGAAAAAATAATGTGGGTTAGTGTTAGTCATTAAAGAGCACTGAAGAATGATAGGCATTCTGAGATTGAAGGAGCACACTGCATCCTGAGCAGGATATATAAAACCCATACAGAGACATAATAGAGAATTGCAAGAACATACTGTACACTTATTTTTTTTAGCTTTTTGAGACAGAGCCTCACTATGTAGTTCAGGCTGGTCTTGAACTCACTGTGTAGTCCAATTTTGCCTCAAACTCATGGTGATCCTCCTGCCTCAGTCTTCTGAGTGCTGTTATTTCAGGTGTGTGCCACCATACCCAGCCTCTTCAGTATTTTATAGATGAGGAAAGTGAGGTACAGAGAGCGAAATTAACCCATGATTTTGTTTGAAAATGTAACTTTTAAACCAGTTGAGGTAAGATGACAGACACAGAGAATTGCTTTGAAAAATTGAGTTTATTTCTTATAGTTAGTTCCCAGAGGATAGTGGACACTCCACACTATGCAGGGTGCTGTGGGAAAGTACCAGGGTCAGTCAGGAGGTGTAAGGAGAAAGGGCAAAGCATAGAACCCAGCTTTGCTTGTGGATTTCATGGAGAGGAATGGGTGGGACAGGTAGGCAAAGATTAGATAGTTTGAATATTTCATCAGGCTTTGAGCTACAGGGGTGGTCCCTAGGGGTTTAGGACCTTCCTCTGGGTGGTTTGGACTAGGGAATACTGACTTCTATGTAAGAGTTTGATAAAGGAGATGGAGGGGTTATAGACTCCAGTTTGGTTTGTTTGGATATGAAATTTGTGCTAGCAGGCAAGCTGTTTGCTATCACTAGTAGTTAGCCGGGGTGGGGGAGCAGTTACCCCCAGGTATACAAAACCTAGTGAAGTCAAAGCATTAAAAAAAACAAAACAAAACTATGAAGCTAGGTGTAGTGGAACAGCTACTCAGGAGGCTGAGGCAGGAAGGTCACAAGTTCTAGATTAGCCTGCGCAATTTAGTGAGACTGTCTCAAAAAAAAAAAAA